ATGGCTGCGAGTGAGGCCCAGCACGGCTGTTAGGCTGTGCCCTAAAGCTATGCGGTTGCCAGTTTTCCTATTCCAGAAACAACTTTTGCCCCTACCCCTCATCTCTGCAGTCGGCCAGAAGTGTCAGTACTGGACAGAACTTGCCAGGAACCACTTCCCTGTGGCAGATCTTGGAAAATCTCAGAGACCTTGAAGCCCTCCGCTACATGCATCCTTTGTCTCTGTCTGCATCTCATTGTTTTCCATTTGTTAACTCATACAAGCTCATGTGTTTCTATTTATGGAGATTTAGTCGGCATTCACTTTGAGGTTGGTCTGTGCCTCAGGAACTTAAAAATACTTGAAATCTTCAGTGATGACACCAATGTAGTTCATATTGCTGTAGTTTAAAGCGAAGGTTTCTGGCTGCAGCTGTTTTATGACTGTTGTAGAATTTGTTGCATGGATGTTGGTTACTTTTTTGGATCAGGCTCCTAAACAAGGCTCCAGATTTCTGAGAGAGAGAAAGAGAGAGAGAGAGAACTGGTAACTGCAGAAGTCATATTTTGTGTCGGGCCAATGTTGTGGCACAGCTGGTTAGGACACAATTTGCAACACTGGCGTTATTAGGGCGCCCTTCTGGTACCGACTGCTCAGCTTCATATCCAGGTCGATGTCAATGCACCTGGGAAGGCAGCAGAAGACAGCCCAGTCTTTAGATTCTTGCCATTCACATGTGAGAACCTGGTGGAATTCCAAACTCCTGGCTTTGCCTGGTCCAGCACACAGGCCATGGGGACCTTTTGAGGAGTGATCCACCCAATGGAAGCTCTCTCTCTCTCTGTCTCTCTCTATTTCCCTGGTAGACCTCACAGTTGGGATCACTCCCTCTCTGTGCTTAGTCCCATTCCCTCTGTGCACGTCATCATTCATCCAGCACAGCTCGGAAGATGCTGTTCATTCCATTTCTTGTTTCATTAGAGTCTTTATCACCTCTTTTCCTCACTAGGATATTTATTTGTTGCCAAGTTTTGAGGCCTACCTTCCCATCATTTTTGAGGGTGGACCAGGTAGTACCCACTGAGGATAAAAGTCATTAGTTGATCAGAGACCGATTTGATCCATTGTTCAAACGTAGCCTGCTGTGTGCATTTGATTGTGTTGAAATGAGATTCTCTTTAAACAAGCTGGCAGTTGTGTCGGGGCTCGCAACTGGAGAATGCACACATAGTAAATCACACACAGCTTTGCAGTGGAAAAGAAAAGCTGAATAAGAAGCAAAAAAACAAAATAAGAGAGCGCCCTAACTTCTATTGTAGTTCTGAACAGATACATGTGTCCACAGGAGATACTTTGAAGGAACAAAAATGTGAACAGGGAGATGGGATACTAAAGAGACCTGCTGTTGGCCAGTGCGTGAGCCTAAGTTGACTCTGTGACTGGTGGGGGGTGGGGAAAGAGGGGGCACATTTTAAAGGGATCTAAAGAGAATGAATTTCTATCTTCACAACTGTGGAATTCCTGGGTAATGCTTCATGATGGGGTTGGAGGCGACAGAGAGAAATGGAATGGAATTCAGGGTCTCTGAAAGGAAAACCTGGAGTGAACTCGATGGAGAACCAGAACTCCTAGGTACCCCTGTAAACCCTCCTTCACATGCCAGCCACACGTCCAGGCACTGAGTGCTGCTCCCCTCATCCTGTTCCAGCTCTGCTGGACGACAGCGAGAAACTCGCTTCACTTTTGTAATAATCATTTCTCACTGTGCTTACCTTGGCCAGCTCCTGACACAGAGGACTGGAATATGTAAGGAGCTTGGCTGTGGGCTTGTGATGTGTGTGTGACTGTACGTCTCATCGCACTTGAGGAAGTACCGAAATTGGGTCAGATGGTAAGCACATATCTGAAGGAACATCACAGGTAAGTTGATGAAAACTTCTGTACATCCATTGCCTAATCCGTAAGGTGGACATGCGAGTGTCTAGTTCATGGGGCTTAATGAGTTCAGTCCTTACAGAGTCACCTGCGATGTGGATACTCAGTTCATGGAGTTTTATTAGCTAAAACATTCTCTGGGACAGAGAGAGATCAGAGCCGTGGTCACCAATTGTCCGCTGTTTTCCAGATGCAAAGGAGAGGGAAGTTGGCTGTCCAGTCATGGGACTGTCACATGGCAAGCCAACGTCCTCAAAAATACCCTGTGTTGGATGCAGTTAAGAGCCTGCATTTTCCTATTAACATATTGGTTAATCAATACCATGTCAATTAACACCATAATGCTGTAAATTGTTGTTGATGTTATGTTGGGGCTTTTAATTGATTGGGACAATACTTTGCCGGCTTTACCTTCAGACCAGAGATGGTCGCACCAAGAAATCGTTGAACCCACTAGGATAATAAGACGCTGGACTTTGTGATTGGTAAATACTTCCAATGAAGAACCTCAACTGAATTTCAACTGTGGTAATGCAGCAAGGTGGAGAAATCCACCATGGAGAGAGGGTTCGGGGAGGGGTGGGGGAAATCCCAGTGCCTATAACACTGTGTCACGTAATGCAATACAATTAATTTTTTAAAAATGCCCTGTGTCCTAAAATATATGTCACAGTATTCATGACTCAAATGCTTCATAGCAAACTTAAAGGCAACCTGTCAGTCTTGTTACCAGCTGCCCACTTTAAAACTCACACAGCAATAGAGTCATCAAGCATGCATTAGCATACCTCCAAAAGCTGAGATAAGTGAAATTAAAAGAGCAGTTAATATTGGTGCAAAAATGTTCTTCAAGTATTTTTTTCTTTTTGTTTCTTTTTTTTTTTTAATTTTTTTATTGGAAAGGCGGATATACAGAGAGGAGAGACAGAGAGGAAACTCTTCCATCTGATGATTCACTCCCCAAGTGAGCACAACGGCCGATAATATGCCAATCCGAAGCCAGGAGCCTCTTCCGGGTCTCTCACGCGGGTGCAGGGTCCCAAAGCTTTGGGCTGTCCTCAACTGCTTTCCCGGGCCACAGGCAGGGAGCTGGAAGGGAAGCGGGGCTGCCGGGATAGAACCAGCGCCCATATGGGATCCCGAGCGTGCAAGGCGAGGACCTTAACCACTGCGCCACCGCGCTGGGCCCACTTTTTATTTCATTTTATGACACAGTTTCACAGGCTCTGGGATTCCCCCAATCCCTCCCCATGTCCTCCATGGCATGTGGACATTCCCCAAACACTTACGACTCACTTTAATGCATTGTCAGAAAGTATGCCTTGAATAAGGCCTATTGTTTTTTTTATAGATCTATTTAGTTTTTGCCAAAATGTACATCTCTGAGGCTTTTATGATTTTCATAGCAAAGGTGATTAATATGTCTGCCTTTGAATTAGAATTTTATCTGGAATCCACTTCGAGACATCAAACTTTGTCTCTTCAGTAGGACGGTTAACATATAAAGTAGTTAATGGACCCACAGTTACCAGTTGGAACTCACACGGTGATGTTTAACAGCAATACAGTACCATCATAAACACGTCCATATGAGCTTTTTACTATCTTGCTTTGCACAATTGTCCCGCAAAACAGATTATCTAAGTTTAGCAAGGGAAATTTCATTGCTAATTAGATTTACAAAGCTGTTGAGAAACTAATGGAAGAAAAGATCTAGGAAGAGGGGACAATGAGTCCAAAATTATCCATGAAATCTTTACTACGACTTTTTAAGGTATAGTTTCAATTTATTTTTTTCTGTTATCCTAACAGTGTTTTGCATAATAAGTAAGTACTCACAAAAAATAACTGGTAAGTTTAAGCAAGTGGTGTCTCTCCACTGTCTTGCAAATATTTTAGAAAAAAAAAACGCATGTATCTTGTTCTTTTAGGATTTCTATCCTAGTATTTGGATGAAAGAAAACCTATTCAGGCTGTTTGAATCGGCGATACCGCATGTGGACAGTAGATGGCGCCATTGTCCTATCTCACCCCTGTGCTGAGTCAGTGGCCTGAGCTGGCTTGAAGCATGCGTTTTCATTTTATGCAGGACTATTACCCAGGAATCAATCTTGGAGCTCTATATTAATTTGAAATGACATCAAGGGTTTTTTTTTTTTCCCCACTTTTGTTGAGAAGGCGGAAATGTCCATTTTTCTACTATTAACTGTTATCTTCCAGTAGCCCGAAGTTCTTTCATGTCTAATGTTTTTTTGTGAAGTGATTTCCAGTGCTTTTGCTAGCGCAACAGAACAAAGTCTTGGATGAACAAAGCTGAGCAAAAAGATCTCTGGCTCCCTGATAAGGGGAGTGGGGCTCCCTGCCCGTGTTTGATATGTATTATCTTCAAGAGCCTTGCACGTGTGGCACGTGGGTGAGCATAAAGGCTGGCTTCAACCTGCTTCCTCCGTGTCTTACAGGTTGTTTAACTTGTCTCACATCAACTATTTCGTCAGTCCCAAACCCCCTCACTGCTGCTTTTACAATAAAACAAACCGAACAATGCTAGCAAGGACAACAAAAATAAATGTAGTACTCTCCCCGGCTAGGAACGCACCGCTTCTTTGGCCCACACAGCAAGGAGTCAGCCGTCACTCACGCATGGATCCGTGCCCTGGAAAGGTAGCCGTTACTGATAGACGCAACTGGATTTCTAAGCATTTTTCTAAAATTTCTTGCTAATGTTTTCTTTCCATAGAAACACCGAAGCATGCCAATTCTTTTCCATTTAAAAAATTTTAGTCCAGCTGAAAAGATCAGGTTTGCCATCTTGGAATTTTCACCTTGTTTGTCTCAGGGATCCAGTTCGCCCTGCTACGATTTTTATAGGCGATCGCGAGCGTGAGCTTTGATGTCAGGACAGTTTGGAAGCCAGGCAGGTAGGTTTCTTGTTTGGTTGTGTTTGCTTTAGGATTTTATCTAACTCAGAAAATGGCTGAATAATGTGCATAGAAACACACTTATACACATGTGTATGTGCGTGAGAATTTTTTCAACATGCGAGGGTTGTCATTCAGTTATTGCAAAGGTATATTGATCTCGAGGGCATGAGCAGTGTGCCCTGGCGTGGACGTCAGGACGGCTGCGCCCTGCGCGGGGGAGGCCTGGGCTTTAACGGCGGCTCTGGCTCTGATTCAGTTTCTGCTCCTGCATCCCCTGGAACACCGCAGTGGTGGCTCAAGCAGCTGGTTCCCTGCCACGCGGAGGGTCCCTGCAGACATCCCCGAATCGGGACCGAGTTGCCAACTGCCATCAGAGGCCAAACCATCCGTAACTTGTGCTGGATTTCTCAGCCTTCTTGGTAATTAGGGCTATTGAGACCAAGTCATCTCCAATTTCTGCTTCAGTTTGGTTTGAATCCATCACACTCAAGCACGTGCGCTCTCGTTTTCCTTAGACTCCATAAAACAAGGCCTTTGTGCGTGGGGGTGTTAATCAAACAACTTTCACAGCTTTTGAGCATGTTTTTAACCATGGTTCTCCCTGGTAATATTCTAATGAAGTAGTAATGTTTATCTTCATTTTTCACATAAGCATTTCAAGGTGTTTCAGGAAATATCCTCAAAATGGTGACTGTTTATTTTTGAAGATTTCACGTTTAATACCTTGCATACTGACTACTTTGTATAATACCTTGAAATATTATACAATAGAATTATGCATATTTAAATGTCATTTCCAGCAGTTTTAAAGCTTAAGAACTAATATGACCAGAAAAATCTAAGTAGAAGAAAAATGTATCATATGCTTTATTTCTGTGAAAGTTCTAGATGTTGCACTCTAAGTCACACTAGAAAGGTCCACGTATTTTTCTTGGGGTCAAGGAGTGTTACTATTTTTTCTTAAAGACTTATCTTTTTTTATTGGAAAAGAAGATCTGTAGAGAGAAGGAGATCTTCCATCCACTGCTACACACGCCAAGTGGCCACAGCAGCCAGAGCTGAGCCAGTCCGAAGCCAGGAGCTTCCTTGGGGTTTCCCTCATAGGTATAAAGTCCCCAGGCTTTGGGTCATTCTCTACCACTTTTCCAGGCCACAGCAGGGAGCTAAACGGGAAGTGGAGCAGCAGAGACATGAACCAGTGTCTGTATGGGATCGCAGCTCATGCAAGGTAAGGATTTAGACATTAGGCCATTGCGCCGGGCCCAGGATTATTTTTTTTTTAATAAGGATTTATTCATTTGCCTACAGGAAAGAAAAGAGAGGGGGAGAGAAAGAGAGAGAGAGAGAGAAGGAGAGAGAGAAGGAGAGAGAGAAAATGAAAGAAATTGTCCAGCTGCTGACTTATTTCCTAAGTGTTCCCAACAGGTAGGATTGGGCCAGCAACCAGGAACAGCATTGGGGATTCTCTTTGGAGTGGCACGCACCGAAGTGGTTTCCTAGGCTCTTCGGTAGGAAGCTGACTTGGCAATGTGGAGGACTGGGCATTAGGCATTCTGCTCTGGCAACCAGGCGTTCTAAGCAGCGGCTTATCTGGCTGTTCCACAGCCCCGACCCTTGAGGAATGATCTTATTTCGCCCAGCGCACCATGACGTCTCAGGTTGTGCGTTTTACCCACGCTTGTGTGTGCTCATCAGATTATTCAGTCAAGATTTAAACAGGTTAGTCAACCCTCTGATAAGTCTCACAATTTGCTCTTCAAAGTTTAATCTGCCAACGGCTGCCTAATCAGTCCGTCTTTTAAGCAGCTTAATGATTCTTTTTTTGCCTTCTGTAGGGACCAAGAAGTTCTCCCCCAAATATATTATTTTGTTCTGCTTGCTAATATGAATTTCTTTCAAAAATACCTTGAGATTTTTGTTACTGGGTTACATTTGTTTTTAATTTGAGATATCAACAGGATAAAAAATATTGAGAATACAGAAAAATATGTATAATATGTATTTTTGCATCATATGCATTTTTCAGAAGCAAAGATTCATGCAGGTAACCATGAAACTAAGCTTCGAAAAAGTGATCTTATATTCAGGCAATTTTAGCCACAGGTGGGCCTGGCACAATGGCTCAATGACTAACTCATCAATTCTTTTTTTTTTTATTTTTTTTTTTTAATTATTATTATTTTTTTTATTGGAAAGGCGGATATACAGAGAGGAGAGACAGAGAGGAAGATCTTCCGTCCGATGATTCACTCCCCAAGTGAGCGCAACGGCCGATGCTATGCCGATCCGAAGCCAGGAGCCTCTTCCGGGTCTCCCACGCGGGTGCAGGGTCCCAAAGCTTTGGGCCGTCCTCGACTGCTTTCCCAGGCCACAGGCAGGGAGCTGGAAGGGAAGCGGGGCTGCCGGGATTAGAACCGGCGCCCATATGGGATCCCGGGCGTGCAAGGCGAGGACCTTTAACCACTTGCGCCACCGCGCTGGGCCCTAACTCATCAATTCTTAAGCACTGGGATCCTACATGGGTGCCGGTTCATGTCCGGGCTGCTCTACTTCCAATCCAGCGCCCTGCTTATGGTTTGGGAAAGCAGTAGAGGATGGCCCTAAGCCTTGGGACCCTGCACCTGCATTGGATTGGGAGCGGCTCAGCTCCAGCTGTAGCAGCTGCTTGGGAAGTCAACCAGTGGGTGGCACATTTTTGTCTTTCCTCTCTGTCAATCTGATCTGCCTTTACAATAAATAATTTTAAAAAATGTATTTCCTGTGGGTATTTAAGGTGTAAACTGGACTAAATTTGGGATTTTTCTCTCCCTTACTTCTGTCATGAATTTGATTTAAACCCTGGGACAATGGAAAGGTTTCTTGAGCTTGTCCAACTGGACCTTGCCCCTCACACAGCTGTCTCTGGTTTCTTGCTCTGTCGCATGTGCAGCCCCTGTGAGGCCAGCGTTTGCAGGAACGCAGGACCAACAGCGAGCCCTTCTGCTCATCAGCCTCACTCCCTCCTCCCCTGCGGCCTTGTCGACCAGCTGTTCTATCAGAGAGCAAGACCCAAGGCTTGTCATTCAAGGGACTGCTGTTCTTTCGCTACCTCCCTTTTGGTTCTCTTCTCCCCTTTCTTACTCGGAATCTCTGAGCTGCAAGGCAGGGAAGAAGCTAAGTAAAATAATCACGCTCTTCATTTCCCTAAATACTTTACTCTTAGGCTTTCTTTTTAAAACATGCAAGTTTAGAATGGGCACTGGTGTTTGCCTCTGCCCGTCGGCATCTCATCCAGTGGGAATATGGGCCTTCAGTTGGGTGTGGGAGACCACTCCTGGTCCAACATGAAGTGAGAAGCTCTGAGAGAAAGGGGCAGCTGGAACACTTAACATTTACATCTTTACAGCTGCTGTTGCAACTAGCAGCCAAACCCACTGCACCCCGGTGTTGCCCTTCTCTGTTATCATGTCGGTATTACGTGTTTGCTTCACTTGAGAGACCGATTTCACAAGACTGAAAATTTAAATCCTTTTGGGCTTCCTCATTAGGAAAATGAAAAAAGATTTAGAAAACCAGGCATAGGGCCCGGCGCGGTGGCACAAGTGGCTAAAGGTCCTCGCCTTGCACGCCCGGGATCCCATATGGGCGCCGGTTCTAATCCCGGCAGCCCCGCTTCCCTTCCAGCTCCCTGCCTGTGGCCCGGGAAAGCAGTCGAGGACAGCCCAAAGCTTTGGGAACCTGCACCCGCGTGGGAGACCCGGAAGAGGCTCCTGGCTTCGGATCTGCATAGTATCGGCCCGTTGCGCTCACTTGGGGAGTGAATCATCGGACGGAAGATCTTCCTCTCTGTCTCTCCTCTCTGTATATCCGCCTTTCCAATGAAAAAATAATAAAAATAAATCTTAAAAAAAAAAAAGAAAACCAGGCATAAAGTTTAATAAGTGCTTTGAATGATAAAATATTTTAGTAAATCACAATTTTTGAAAAGATAGAAAATATCAGTATCACTAAACTAAAAAAACACTATTTTTATTAATTAGCTGCTTTTAAAGCTCCTTCTAGCCTACACTTTTAACTGTCTATTCTTTGATAGCTTTTCATGATGAGATTTTTAAATTATTTTAATAGAGGGGTAGGTTATTTAGATTATTCTCAAACATTTTTAAATTGATACTTATTAATATGTCAGAAAAGTTTATTTCAATCTTACAGCTTGGTATACTGTGACTTTCTTTGCCTTTCGTGTTGCCACAGATTGTGACAAACATTCCCATAAATTCTTTATCTTGTGCTTCCCACTAAAAAAAAAAAAAAAAAAGATCAAACATGGGAATGTTTGCAATAGTTAATGCTGCAGGGCCCAGCGTGGTGGCCTAGTGGCTAAAGTCCTTGCCTTAGAACGCACCAGTTCTAATCCTGGCAGCTCCACTTCCTGTCCGGCTCCCTGCTTGTGGCCTGGGAAAGCAGTCAAGGATGGCCCAAAGCCTTGGGACCCTGCACCCGCTTGGGAGACCTGGAAGAAGTTCCTGGCTCTTGGCTCTGAATTCGCACAGCACTTGTTGCGCTCACTTGGGGAGTAAATCATTGGACGGAAGATCTTTTCTGTCTTTCCTCCTCTCTGTATATCTGACTTTGTACTGAAAACAAAATAAATCTTTAAAAAAAAATAGTTACTGTTGCATCCTTGGATCTGTCCTGAGTGCCGAGCTTCTTCGGAGCTTCGCCATTCAGAGCAGCCAGCCAAGAGAAAGGACTTGGCGCATGTTTTCCTGGTTAGATTGGCAGCAGGGCTTCCCATAGGCCAGCATATGTTTCCGTCTTTTTCTTATTTTCCTTCATGTATTGTTTCAGTTCGTAGCATCATAGGACACATTGATCTAAAAATACAAGCTCTACCTTTTCACCTTGTTGCCAAGTCCATCGTCAGGGCATACGGTGTGCCATGTTCCTAGACCGCCCACCTGGGCTCAGCAGGCAGGTCCCGGGGTGATCTGCCATGCATGGGGTATTGATATACACTTTAAATGAGTGCCACAGTCAAGGTATTCAATAAATCATTACCCCATGCAGGGATCTGTGTTTAATGTGCATCAAGAATGCTGAAGATCTCTTCCTAAGTTACATTCTTATTTGTCATAGTCACCACAGCGCACGTGACAGTGTCCTGAACTTACAACCTCAGAGCGGGTACCGTTTGAGCATGTCTGCCCACACTCCCTCCGCCCAGAGGTTCGTTTCTACCCTCTGATTTAATAGGCCTTACTTTGTCTATATTCCACACGTATTTTGTCTGTGTGTATGGCTTATGTTGCATCCACAGAGTCTTCCAGGGTGTATCCATATTCTCAGACTGCTCTCCAATAAACATGAGGAAAGTTCATTGTTAGTAGTATTAAAATTTGACGCAAATATTATGTGATTTTAAATAGTGAAAGGAACACAAAGTCATCAATACACATCTCTTGCCACATATGAGTAAATTTTAGACAGGAATGGGAGAAAATTCTAGTACATTATAAGGATTTTGACAAAATTGTTTTCTAGAGTTAATGACTTGTAGATTTTGGAATAAAAATTTAGCTTGAGAGTAATTTTTCTAGAAAAAACATTTATTGTTTCTATTAAATTATTTTGCAGTTAGCCCGGCACACGGGCCTAGCAGCTAAAGTCCTGCCTTGAATATGCCAAGTTCATGTGTGGGCATTGGTTGTAATCCCAGCACCTTATTCCCATCCAGCTCCCGGCTTGTGGCCTGGGAAAGCAGTCAAGGAAAGCCCAAGGCCTTGGGACCCTGCACCCACTTGGAGGACTCAGAAGAGCTCCTGGCTCCCGGCTTCAGATAGGTGCAGCTCCGGCTGTTGCGGTCAACTGGGGAGTGAATCAGTGGATGAAAGATCTTCCTCTCTGTCTCTCCTCTATATATGTGACTGGTTGTGTTTCCTGAAAAGTGTGATGTTGGTATCAGAGTGAGGGACTCATGACAATTATCCTAATATTGGGGGAAAAAAAGTATGGTCATCAATATCATATAGTCACTGAAGCAATATTTATAAGTAAAGACCAAGTAATATGGCATCCACACAATTTTATAATCTCCGTATATACTGATTTTCAAGAAAAATCTTGGGATATTTGTCCTTCTGGATCTTCCTCATTCCACTTAGCATAATGATTTCTAGTTGCATCTATTTTGTTGCAGATGTCAGAAGTTCATTTGTTTTCATGGCTGAGTGATAGTTTAGCATGTATATATTCCATTTTCTTTGAGCATTTTCTCCAGTCGATTGACATGTGGATTAGCTCCATATCTTTGTTGTTGTGAATTGAGCTGCTGTAAGCATGGAAGAGAGATAATTCATGTTCTGATTTCATTTTCTTTGATACTATTCTCAAGAGTGGGAGTGCTGGGTCGTATGGTAGGTCTATTTTCAGTTTTCTGGAAATTTCCACACCATTGTTTTCCCACCAAGAGTGTATTAGGGTGACCTTTTTTTTCCTACAGCCTTGACAGCATGTGCTATATTTTGATTTTTGGATAATAGCATTCCAACGATAGTGAGGTGATAACTCATTGTGGTTTTCATTTGGACTTCCCTGATGGCCAGTGAGCCCGAGTAATTTTTCTTGTGCTTGTTGGCCATTTGTATTTCATCCTCTGAAAAATGCCTTCATATCCATTTCTTACACAGAGTAATTTGTTTCATGGTTGTTGAATTTCTTGAGATTCTATATTCTGGATATTACTCCTTTTTCAGATGCCTAATTTGCAAATATTTTCTGTTATCTCATCACTTTGTTAATTTCTTTTGCTCCTTAGTTCGATGTGACCTCATGCGTCCATTGTTGCTGTATTTGTACTTCTGTGGTCTTCTGCAGCAAGTCTTTGCCTGGGCCAGTGCCTTGCAGTGTTTCCCTTATGTTTTTCTCTGTTGGTGTAATGGCGTTGGATCGCAAATTGAGCTACATGATCCACTGGGCGCTGAAGCTTGTGAAGAGTGTAAGCTGGGAGGTCTTGTTTCAAAATTGTGCCTGTGTAAATCTGATTGTCCAGCAGCATTTGTTGAAGAGACTGGCCTTTCTCCAGGGAGTGATTTTACCTCACCTGCCAATGATGAGTCTGTTGTAGTCAGACCTGTTTTCTGTTCTGATCAGTTGGTCTGCATGTCCACTTGTGTGTGTGTGTGTGTGTGTGTGTGTGTGTGTGTGCGCGCGCGCTTGTGTGCCAGCACCATGCTGCTTAATTGTAAGAGCCCTACACTAGTCCCTGAAATCTGGCCTTGTGATGTCTCCAGGTTCTTTTTATTGCTTGCAATTGCTTTGCTTTGGATTTTTGGGGTCTCTGTCTTTCTTTCTATGTGTTCAGGATTTTTTTTAAGGTCTGCAAAGAATGAACTTGCTTTTTTGATTGGAATCATGTTAAATCTGGATTATTTTGGTTAGTATGGGCATTTTAGTGTTAATAGTTCTTCCAATTCTTGAAAATGAAAGATTTTTTCCCATATCTTGTCTCTTCTATTTCTTTCATTATTATTTTATAATTTTCCATGTCAGGATCTTTCATATCCTTTGTTAAATATATCTCAATGTATTTTGATTTTTTGTAGCTATTTTTGACCAGTTCTGATTCTTCAAGTTCTTTCTGAGTCGGACATTGTTGGTCTATAATAATAATGCAATTGATTTTTGCTCATTGATTCTATAATATGCAGCTCTGCTAAATTCTGTTATGAACTCTAATAGTTACCTAATTAGTCTTCTGGTATAAAAGATCATGGCATCTGGGCCCGGCATAGTAGCTTAATGGCTGAGAACTCTTCGTCTTGTATGCACCAGGAACCCATGTGGGCACTGGTTCGTGTCCCTGCTGTTACACTTCCCTTCCAGCTCCCTGCTTGTGGCCTTGGAAAGCAGTGGAGGATGGCCCAAGGCCTTGGGGCTCTTTGCTGGTGTGGGAGACCAGGAAGAAGCTCCTGGCTCCTGACTGGGTCAGCTCTGGCTGTTGCAGCCACTGGAGGAGTGAATTAGTGGCTGGAGGATCTTTCTCTCTGTATCTCCTTCTCTGTAAATCTGATCTTTCAATAAAAATATCAACCCTTAAAAAAAAGATCATGGTATCTGCAAACAAAGTTTCTTTGTCTGCTTCTGGGTCAGGTCTTATTGTTTTTCATAAATGTTTCTGTTGTTTGTCTTAAATCTTCTTCTTTCATTTAGTAGGAGAGTCCGCCTTCACTCACATTCCTTCATCATTCACATTGTGTTTCTCTCTCTCTCTCTCTCTCTCTCTCTCTCTCTCTCTCTCTCTGTCTGTCTCTTTTAAAGCCCGTCCAGGTATTAACACATTTTGTTTTCCCAACTTCTGCTAGTGTTGAAAGGTTTTTATTTCACCTTTATGTATGAATGAGAATTTCACTGGATAAAGTTTCTTTGAGTTGGAAGTCCTTCTTTTAGATTTTGGACTAAACCTCTCCATTTTCTCCTTGCCTATAGTGTTTCCTTTGAGAAATCTGCAGTCAATCAAATGTGAATTATTTTAGAAGTAATACAGCTTTTTTGACTTGTAGATTTTAGGATTATTCTTTTTCTGTTTTGTCTTAGAAAGCTTGACTATAATGTGTCATGGTGAGGATCTGTTTTGATCATGAATATTTGGGATTCTGTGTACTTCTGATATTTGAATGTCTCTATCTTTCTTCAAACTGCGGGAGTTTTCGGGTATGATTTCATGGACTAGCCTAGTTTTGTTCTCCATGCCATCAGGGAATCTTGACTTGTCATTTGCTTGGTTGCTTGCTGGTACTCCACAGATCCTGTATGCTGCTTTGTTTCAGACTTTCCTTCCTGCCTGCCTCCCTGCTTGCATTCCTGCCTTCCTCTCACTCTGAGATAGAGAATTTTATTTAATGTATGTTTTAGAAGCCTTACAGTCATTGTCTTGCATTCCATTCAGGCATTTAGTCAATTTCTCCTTCTTCATGTTCTAATATCAAGGCATTATTATTTTGTCTCTTTTAGGAATTCATATTGCCTTTGTTCATGTTTCCTGTTTTTGCATTGATTTTTGTGTAGCTGGGGAGGCTCTTGTTTGTATCTTTTCTGGAGGATGGATTTTTTTTTAATTTAAGGCATTATTCCTGGAAATGTACCTCTAGAGCTTGATGGAGTGCTTACGGCTTGGGTTTTAACTCTGGGGTGCATGCTGGGTAGGACCTGGAAGTGTGGCAAGTTTCAGCCAGAAGACCACTGGCCTGCGCCTTGGGCTAGGGCCGTGGTGCTCTGCGCAGTGAATCACCAGAGACAAGTCTGATGGGCGAGCTGGTTTATTGGAAATCAAGCACAGACTTACATAGGCTGTGGAGGGGAATACCAGTGCAAGTCCAGCCAATCAGCTTAAAGGTTGTGTATTCCTTCAAGGAGGCGCTGTGTACCCGGCCCATATCCTGGAGTTGTTTTTCACAGGGCAGGATAGGAAAGCTGGGGGAGGGAGGTGCACCTGGGGCTCCAGCCCAGGAAGGGTAGATGGGGTCGGGAGTGCACCAGGTACTATACACGCCGCCCGGCCCCCACCATCTGCTTAGGCCACGGTTGTGGGCCTCTAGGCATCCACAGAGGCTCCAGCCGGGAGCATGGGCTTTCACGTAGGCCAGGTAGGCCGAGACTTATTCCGGAACTGATACACTCCCATGGGAGCACTGATCATCATTTGTTGGTGAGACAGGGGTCCAGAGTGTTAGCCAATATCGTCTTGGTGGAGTGCCTCCAGCTCTACTTTCAATCCAGAGCACTGGCTCTGTCCCTTGGCCCCCTGTGACTGGGGAGAATGCCACAGCCTGGTTTTTTGTTTGTTTGTTTGTTTGTTTTTACCTCTCGGCCCTATGGGCAGAACTCTAGTTAAAGGATGCAGAATGCCTGCTCTTCATATTGTACAATGCCCTGTCTCTGACAGCCCTCGGTAGCAGTCAAACTATTGGGTTGTCCTTTGAATCAGGGCATAGTTCAGTAGCAAAAATTCTACGTGAAACTGAATGTGGTACTTTGGTCAAGGGAGGAAGTGAGACAACATGGCTTCCTTTAGAGAACAAAGTAGTTATTCAGTCTTGTGTCAGCTCCCAGGATAGACTCAAATCAGCGAGGGTATGGGATTCTCCATCTCCTAAAGCTGCTGGTAGCAAGAGCTGTGGCAACTTTGCATCCTGTCTTCGCGATATGGTGTTTTTCTGACATGGTGATGCGTAGATGCAGTGATGGCAGGCTGCACAGTTGGCCCCAGCACGCGTGTCCTCTTCTAGTTGCCCCTGGAGTCTCTGTTCTGTTCAGTCGCCCACCGAAGGTTTTTCTTAATCAGTGTTTTGGGAACATGTTTGTTTTTCCTTTAGTTTTTGTACTATCATTCTGTGATTGGTATCAATGCACCTTTTGATTATGCAGTCATCTTTAACCTATAGAATTGTGTTTTATTTATTGGAAGAGTAGAGCACAAATGGAGTTATCTTCCATCGTCTGGTTTATTCCACAAATGGCCAGAACTGCTAAGGTTGGGCCAGGCTGAAGGCACAAAGCAGGAATTCCGCCTCGCTCCCTAATGAAAGGGCGAAAAGAGTCTAAGCTGTGGCCATCAACCACTCCCTTCCTTGGTCCATTACCAGGAAACTACGCCAGGAAAAGAGCAGCTGGGACTGGAACCAGTCTTTTTTGATGTGGGAAGTCAGAGTTAACACGTTGTGCAATAGTGCTGGTCTATGAATGTTTTCTTCATATGAGATGGCATCTCAATACTCTTCCTTATCCTCGTAACTCTTCTTATGACCTGTTCATTACATAAAATGAATGGATTAATATTATCTCAATAGTCAGAGATGAGTTACACAGAGATGAATTACACTTTGACCACAAGAAGGCTGTGGGTATGATCATTGACACCACATTATTTTAGTGATTATATTTGAACTTGTGGGCAAATTTGTTTCACAAGTGTCTTTGAAAAATTATGACTGCTTCAATAATTTTGAGTTGTTAATTACCTTAAATTACTCTGCAATTTATAATTTACCTTGTACACATTGTTACAGTAATTATATGAGAAAACTAGTGAGTCTCATTTCAGAAAAAGATCGGTTTTGGAAATACAAATTGAAAGCTTGGTGATAAAGAAGAAACAATCTCATTTGAACAGTCAGAGTTCTTTGGTGGCTGCTTAGTAATCAAGGAATACTACTTATCTCCTAAGAGACAAGATTCTGTAAGATTCTTAAATGTTCGTTACAAGCTGACAGTTTTTACATAAAATTAGAATTTCAGTATTTTCTATTTTGTTTGTGATGGGCCCAAGGCCAGTTTTGGGTTTTTTTCCCCCCCATTGGATTCTACACATAACAGGCCAGATCCTGCTAGGGAAAATGATATAATCAATGATGTAGGGGAAAACAGGTTCATTTTAGTCATTTAAAAATTTACCTGTGTCTCCACAGTGGCTTTCTTATCTGTCAAAATATATTGCACTAGACAAATTTTTTATATCTCTGAGGCTGGTTAAAGTTGAAATTTAATATGTTACAAAAGGCATGGTATATCGAATTACTAGGGCCAGTTTTTCAGTGCTTCAGATATGGTCTCATGACATTGATTGAGTTTTAAACTATCTATTTAGGTTAATCTTTCAGTATGATTTCTGAGTTTAGCTAGGATAGTGGGCATATTAATGGATGTGGTGCATGTGGAGGTGTGGAATATACCTTGGTGGTTGGTTGGCCTCTACTGCTCTACCTCTTTGCCAATGAACATACCTCATGTAGCCTCTTGTCTAAGAAATGTGAGAAACAGGCCCAGTGGGGTAGCCTAGTGGTTAGAGTCCTCACCTTACCTGCACTGGGATCCCATGTGAATGCGGGTTCATGGTCCCGCTGCTCCACATCCTTTCCAGCTCCTTGCTTGTGGCCTGGGAGGGCAGTAGAGCATGGTCCAAGGCCTTGGAACCCTGCACCTGCATTGGAGACCCAGAAG